AGTTGCTTTTGTTTGGCCGCATCTCCTCATCTCCCCCGCCTGACCCCCACCCCCCTCCTTATTTCAGCCCCTTCATATCTCATGCCTCCCCCTTACATATGTGAAGCGAGCTGACAAAATGCCTTACTTCTCGGATCCAAGCCTTACAAAAATAGATACATCACGCTTTTAGCTCAAGTTTTTACAATTTATAAGTATGAAATTAAAAGGCATAATATATATAGTTAAAGAATATGACATCAATAGAAAAACTACAAATTTGCCCCTAGTGTTGATTTTTGGCCAATATCTCCATTTGTGGATTCTTGCGAGAAGTAACTTATTTTGTCAGCACGCCTTACATATCCCCCCCCCCACCCGCGTGTAGCATTACAATATCAGGGAGGAGACCAAAGGCAGGCACCTAGCCCATTGCTGTGTGTGCGTTTGTGTGTCAAGTGTGTGTGTGAGAGACAGAATGAGAGAGGAAGGTAAAATGTTTTACCATTTTTTGTAATGTATATATATTATTATATATTTTATGTTATGAAGATGAAATAAAAAATGTCCTTTTAAAACAAATGCTGTTACAGTTCTTGTCTTTTTTCCACATGTGGGTGGTTAGAGGGTGTCAGTGGTTGGTCCTACTTCTTCTCTTTCCTTCTGCTGTTTCTGTTCGTGGGTCATACTTGTTCCCTAGTGTTGGTTGGTGAGTGGTTGGCGGGTGCTCTGGTGTGGTTTGCTTCTTCTTTCCTATAAAAACATCTATCGTCCTTATCTCTCCTCCTTTTTTAAAATGTTTGTTACTCTCTTGTAACGCCTTTAATCTTTGGCAATTATTATTATGACCTTATTGTGTTGCAAGCGCCGTAAAACTCTTACTAAAACTATGAATAAAGATGGGGAAAATTCCGGATCTGAAATCCTTTCATGGTAACAGTCAGGAACTTCGTGTTAAACGGGTTTGGGTAACCAAACTCTGCAGTATATTATATACATATACATACTCATATACATATTATTTATCTTGTCTCAAATCAAGATATGTAGCAGTGAGCATGAACAGACTTAAAACACCTGATGAAGATTATTAAGTCTTTTATTAAACAAAAATAGTCAAGAAAACACACACGATACCACAATTTCACAAACACAGTAAATCTCTATCACAATATGTATGAGCAATATCACAACACAGACACAATAAACAGGTCATCGGTACATTTGTTCAGTTGGGGCAAAGGGTTGGTTAATTAAGTTAGTGAAGAATTCAGAAGTCTTGACTTAGTGATAGTGGAGAATTCTTTCTACTTTCCCTTTGTTCGTTTCAATCTGTCTTTACTTGAAATCATTCTACAACTATATCCCCAGTTACGCTGAACGACAATCTGTCTTTACTTGAAATCATTCTACAACTATATCC